AAATATGTTATGAAGAAAAATAAAATGAACAACATTTGCCTGAGCATTACATCTAAATTCGTTACCGAATTGGAAAAAAAAAATAGCAAACCGAAAATAGAAAAAAGTAAAAAAAGAATTGAAATTAGTGAGCGAACACGATTTGACACCGCCATCTTTGGAGATTTTTCATTTTTGTTTGCCTGAGCAAAATGACTCCAAAATTGAGAGGCATGTACCTCACATCATACAGAACTCATAAAAAAAATTCAGAAAAAAAAAAGTTATTTTTAGGCATCGAAATTTTTTTTTTTTTTTAAATAAAAAAATAAAAAAATAATTGAACGCCGTTCAATTTTGAGCGCGAATTTAAATCCGCGTTCAAACGCACATTTGAACGCGAACGCGCGTTCACGGCGTTCAAACGGTTACACATCGACTAATAAGTGCGCTGCACGGCAAGATGCCCTGACACGTAGTAGGGTCCTTTTGGGGAGTTCTTGCCGGAACATTGTTGCGCGCCATATTCCGAAACACAAGACGAAGGGGGACCGACAACGTCGAAGAACGATCTGCCTAAGACATTGACGAAGTGCGGATACAGGCGGACTTTAGTATATGATCAGGATGTGTGGACGCATAGAAGGGACGGTGGTGAAGTGGTCGATGGCACGTTCTTGAAGAAATATGCCCAACATCCGTAATCAGAAGACGTCGGGGCTCGAGGACCTCGCATCGAAACGGAAGGAACGACGACGTCGCGTTACAAACTGACGAAGTTCGGATGCCGGCGAACTTCACAAATCGCCCATGACAGCCGAGAGGCTCGCAAGGAGTGCGTACCACCCGGACAAGGAGCACCTACACACTCAGTGCGACTGCATTCATCGTGATACCTCCGTTGCTGCAGTTGACCCCTTGTGGACCGCGAAACCCATCTCGAAACAGACGCAGATCCAACAAATAGGCCGACCTACCTGACCCCAGTTGCAATTCAGCATCCCAAAGGACTGCCCAAACAACTGATAACCTGAGGGATCCGGGGGGGGGGGTTGTTTGTGGAGTGCGAAACTCTGCTCGAAACAGACCTGGATCCAACAAGAAGGCCAACCAACCTGACCCAGGTTGTGATTGAGCATCCCGAAGGACTGCCCGAACAACTGACAACCTGAAGGATCCGGGGGGGGTTCTGTTTGTGGAGTACGAAACTCTGCTCGAAACAGACCCAGATCCAACAAGAAGGCCAGAAACCGAGGTACCACAAGAGTGCGTTTGGCAGTCCGCAGAGATTACCGCCGACTGTTTGGCACTCCTTGTAGGTGGTCGGGAAGCCGCTCGGCAGCGCAAGGCCTGTTCCGCTGAGGAGACCGGATTTTCCGAAGTCCGGATCTTGGCGGACTTCAAGCGTCGTCCTGCACAACGGGAACCGCAGCCATCGAGGCTAGCCCTCCAAACAGCATACGTGTGTGGCCCGAATTGTACATGACCAGTAGTTCGGATTTCAGTGGACAGGCCGGAAGTGACGGATGGTCGTCAACAGTTATCCTTTCCCGCCGGCATTTGACGTTCGGCTGCCGGTTCGTCTATGTCCGTCAAGGCAGGGTAGAGCATCACGGGTTCGCCAACATCCGACATTAATGTTTTGTATGCTGAGGATGATTGAAGAAGTCCGCCCACATCCGAACTACGAAGTCTGTCCTGATCCCGCTGTGCTGCTAAACTAGTGTCGGTAGTTGGAAACCGAACCAGAACGATTGCGCAGATGTTGACAGCCACATATTGTCGGTGGTGTCGGCAGTTCTGGCATCAGACCCTCACGTATTGTCGATCTGGGGCAAGTGCGGCTGTCCACCGGCACCCAAACTGTCACACTGCACCATACACTCTGCAGTTGCAGTGCGTGGACACGGTCTAACAGCCCAACGATGGCGAAGGTCGTCATTGAAGCTCGGATGCGGCGGACCACGCGAGTGACTCCCGGAAGGCGAAGTTCACCGGGATCCGAACTTCAGCAGGGTTCGATATGGAAAGGGACGGCGTCAGAGACATACGACCCGTGAGACGGTGGTTGTTGTACTGAACGAAGACCAGGGAATTTCACGACGAGCGCGCGGCATATCGTCAACTAGCAACTGCTGCCTCTCACACCAGTCATCACTACTTCACATCTGCCATTTTCGGCAGCACACAAGCGTCTCACACTTTTCCGCTTAAACTCAAGGTTTAATTACCCGTCCAGACCCGGTGACATTCGGGGGTCCCCGGGGACGTGGTCATGAAGCGAAACCATACAACGCATTCATTGATGATCCGTACACGTGGATCTGCGGTTCGTCGACTGATGCGCTCTCCGAAAAGACGGACATGTATTTCATCCTGACGAAAACTCTCGGTCGTGCTAAGGAATTCCCTATACAGTCACTTATATCAGACACTTTCTCTTCCACCTCATGCCACAAAGAAAAGTTTTGGACCTGCCCTGCGATCACCAAATCGGGCCACCCATGCACACATTCAGGCCCTCGCGCCGGCACAAATTTGGACCCCCGATTACCACCTCGTTGCGTGACACAAGCACAACTGCATCGACGAGTTTCCTACTCTTATTCGAGGTGGCGACACATAGAACCCTGGCAAAATCGGATCCGGACACAGTCAACTGCACACAACAGTATGACACAGCTTGTGGAGAATTCCCCGGGCAACGGAGCGGATACTGTTCCAAGAACGGGCAGTGACGAGCGCAGTCCACCAACTCTTGTTTCCACGAGCCTCCCCAAGTTCGTGGTGAAGACCTGACGTAGTGGCACTCGAGGCGACTGAAATAGCGGCTAATGCAGGTCAGTGTTTTGCGCACACGGTTCAGGAACTTGTGGCCAAGGACAACGTCGGGCAGCGGGATGAGGTTCTCGAACTCCAACATGTTGGCGAACTTGTACTAGCTTGCCCAAGTGCAGCGCCTCTCCATCGTGGCCCAATTCCCATCGCACCAACCGTCAATATGCTCGTCCATGCACGGGACGACAGTCATCCAGGGGTCCTCGTCGAAGTCCTCTGCGGTCGCTCCGTGGATCGTGGTTACACCGTTAAAATACCGCACGGATCTCGCACAAGGAGGAAATGGTTCCGCCAATCGAATGTGCGTCTCGGGACTCATGGTCCGTGGTGTCGAGAACATCGACTCCATTATCCGTGGTGTCGAGAAGGTCGCCTCCATTACGCACCCTACAGACCATGCACAGGGTAAGCAGGCGAAGTGCGAATGCACAGCAAGGAAACACCCCGATCATTGAAGTTCGGAAGCTGGCGGACTTCTCTAGTCGACCAACGACGAGGGACCGAGCACTTCGATCGCAGAGGTTTTTGTCTTGAGAAGTCCGCCCGCATCCGAACTTCAGT